TTATATTATTAAACCAAATATAAATTACTTCTTTATTGTATATAAATTAAATTATAAAAAAATTGAATTAAAAAATTACACAAAAAATAAGGAATTTCAAATAGTTAATTTGATACTAATATYGATATATTTTTGTCAAATTTTTATGATATCTTCACACATATATTTTATTCAAAAATAAAAATATCATTGTTTTCTCAAAATCACATAAAGCCATATTATAACATCGACTGAGATAAAAAATAAAATGAAATATTAAAATCACAATGTATCTCGTTGCATTGTGCGAGTACACTTCTAGTTAATATTAATGATGATTATAATTATGATTGAAGAAAATAACAATAATCTACCAAAACACTATTTCAAGAGGGGCTATCCATTGACACCTCCAAACGCTTATTGTTCACTCATTATTTTTTTTAAAGATAAATTAATTATACCAAGAATTTCACACACCACTCAAACCGTTGGATTCCAACTTTTTTATAGGTTTTGGATAAGATGTGAAAATTGGGTCATCGATAACTATGAAAAAGAATTTAGTTATTGTTTTTATGATCAGGAAATAACATTGAACTCCAAAAATACTAATGATTCACATAAAACTGTTTTTTTTTTTTTTTTTTGTAATTCTAGACGTAAAATCAATCAATAATTATTTATAAATTAATATTATCTACCATATATTTTTACATAGCATTGTAAATCTGTTTCACAACCAGACATATTCTATGATATACTCTTAGTATATTAATTAACATCATTTGAGGTCACAATGCTGACTGTTTCAGAGTAGCACTTTATATAAATCAATATAAATCAGTTGTGTTTTCATGTCACATCATGTTAATATTTTCATAATCATTTTAAACTTTTTTAGGGTTAAAACAAACTTTTTTAGAAAACATCAATCTTATAATCAAAAGTCTGTTTTAGTTATAACTTGAAATCTAATTCTTATTTTAGAGATATGAAAGTACTTAAAAATCAATACACTCAATATTAGATAATAAAGAGTTAATAACGTAAGAAAAAAAAAACAAGGATAGTTTTAAATTTTTAAATATAAATATAAGTTGAATCGTCTTATATAAAAATAATATTTTTTAAAAAATAGGGATTTTCTTAATAAAGTGACGAGGTTCCCACGTTTTTTTTGCTGTTGAGCTAAAGCTCTCAAATCAAAATGGAGAAAGAGACCGAAAGAATTTTCTTTTTTCAAACTCTTTTTTATCGGAATATTTATGATGGAGCTGACAAAGGAAAACTATAATCCTGACCACACACGTATGATAGATATCAGCCTTTTATTTGGCATCCAAGATTGTTGTAATAGAAAGGTAATGCTCATGGTCTAACCGTTTATAATAAGATTTATATTATATTTTAATACAAATATATAATTTATATGAATAAATAATTAAAAGAGTTGGTGTATGATGAATAACGGAAAATATATCAATGTTTTATAGGTAAAATGATTTTAGATTTTAATAGTAGATAAGTTTTTTTTAGACTAGAATGGTACTCGTGCAATGCAGCGAGATACATCTTGGTTTTAATGTTTCGTTTCTATCGATGTTATAATGCGATCTTATGTGGTTTTGAGAAAAAGTAAATGTTTTTATTATTGAATGAAATATAAATTTGAAAAAAATAATCAACATTAGTATCAAATTAACTATTTAAAAGTTTTCGTTTTTGTGCAATTTCTTTAATTCGGTTGAAATTTAATAACGAACTAATTTATTTTTGGTTTAATAAAATAATTTTTAAGATAATAATTAAGTATTTTGTTATAACTCAATAATTATCTTAATTATATTTTAGATTTTTTAAATTTAAAATGATGTTTATCATGTATTTGATTGTGTTTATCTGCAGTTAGTTACACGAATTCAAACATAAAGCTTTAATAAAATGTACTCATGCATATTCTACTTGTAATCTTGAATTTTAAGTAATATGCATTAGTAAACAGTACTTAATTTTTTAATTAATTAAACATACTTAAACTGTTAATATACTGCTAAAATTATTGGTTGACAAAACTAATACGTAATTCCTTTGACAAAATATTGTTTAATTTAATAAATATAGGTGTATGATTGATATTTGAATCTAATAGAACAGTTATATATAGAAGTAATGATGAAGCATGTTCTAAATAAAAAAAAACACCTCACTTAGATATGGAGACGTCGGCTCCACTCAACTTTGCTGGTTTGAAGGGAAATTCCAGATGGTCTCTAGCGGGAATGACAGCTCTCGTCACCGGTGGTACACGTGGAATTGGTTATGCTGTGGTGGAGGAACTGGCGGAGTTAGGGGCGGTGGTGCACACCTGCTCTCGCAATGAGGTTGAACTTAACCAACGCTTACAAGAATGGTCCGCCAAGGGTTTCAGCGTTACTGGATCTGTTTGTGACGTAGCTTCTCGTCCCCAGCGTGAACAACTTATGGAAAAAGTCTCGTCGCTTTTTAGTGGCAAACTCAACATCCTAGTAAGTTCTATTTGTTGCCCGGAACTTCCTTTCCTTTTTTTCATATGTACCGCTAGATCATGTATCCACTCAAACGTGATGGCTAAAATTGATGCTAATTGGTTCCGTTACATGATGTTTAAGGTATCAAAATGATGGTAAATTAAGGGTCGTTTACCAAACACTTACTGTGTAAGTATTTACCTACAAGAGTCGCAACCTTCATTTACTTTATTGGGTGGTAACATTCTGGACCATCAAAATGAATTGTTCATAAGCATCTTTTACCTAGTATGTGCAAATCGGGTAAAGGTTTTCTCCCTCATGGGTAAGATTATCAGTTCTTACCATGTTCATCCGAAAAGGTAAGTGACACCCAGTAAACGCTTATCGGGCAAATGTTTGGTAAAGAGCTACTAAGGTAATCACAGTACAACAATATCGAGTTTATAGGAAATTAAAAATCTTTAAGAGTCATAATAAACTACTTTATACGACTTAAGTTTATAAGACCAAATAATTATGCGTTCTATATAAAAGCATTAAAATTAATTTTGTAGAACGTGTTTTAGTGTCTTAATAAGTTTTTAGAGCATGTTTTGAAATAAACCTCCTATTACCTTTTTATGATATTACGTGAAAACGTTTAATATAAAAACCATTGTCCTATAATCGGATTTATTTTTTGTCCCATATTCCCTATTACTATACATATGATAGGGCAGTACTTCTCAAAAGAGTTAAGTAAAAACGATTATAAACTAATAGCAACACTCATATATATATATATATATATATATATATATATGGGAAAAGTACAATAAAAACCAATGGACTTTCTTGTTTGGAATGATTAAGTCCTTAGACTTTTTTTTGGAACAAATAAGTCATTGGACATTTCAAAACATGTTAAATAAATCATTGGACAATTTTTTGGAACAAATAAGTCTTTGGACATTCCAAAAAATGTTAAATAACTCATTGGACAATTTTTGGAACAAATAAGTCATTGAACAATCCAAAACATGTTAAATAACTTCTTGAACTTATTAATTAACGAGAGTGTCATGGAAGAAGATTGATCAATACCCATATCACATAGAAGCCATCAGAGCCACATTAGTTCTTGGGTGGTAGCAACAGTGCACTAAACCTAGCTTCAAATTCAATACTGAAGGATGTAAGCTAGCAGTAGGATTTCAAAAAGTGACATTACCATTCCAAACCGCATCTGAATAGGTTCAAACTTCCATAAATAAAGAAGAAATGTAGACTATGAAACATAGTATTGTTGATATAACGTAAGATTCTTAATTAGAACAATAATATAACAAGCGGTACGAAGGCATTCCATAAACCAACCGACAATGTGAACTGCAAATGCAAGATTTGAATGGGTAATTGTCAGATTGACTAAAGTACCAGTTGTCAATAGAAGGCAAGATCGCTAAGAAGAGAACCATTACCAGGAAGTAAGATAAAATTTTGGTTATAAAGGTATTGAAGCCATCATATACCGTCGGTGATATCTGCTTGGATTGATGAAGAAAATGATGGTGTTAGATTTCTTATTTCTTTGATTTTTTAGCATCAGTTTGATGATTTTGGGATAATGCAAAGCTTAGCAAGAACTCTATGAAAACGATGATTCAATTTGAATTGATATAAATACGGATTGTAGAAATATTACATCATATTTTGTAAAATAGTTAGAGAACATCGTAGCAAATGGGTTAAGGGTTGTCCTTAGAAGCATTTTATCAAACAGTTGGAGGGCATAGTAGAATAGGTTTATGAGATGTGGTTTCTACTGATTAGTGAATATGTAGGTCTGTTAGGTTATCACTTGCACTTTTTACAAAGATTTTATGTACTTTCATATTTTTAGAAAAATTAATTTTGCAGAAAACTCTTTCCTGCAGATAAACAATGTGGGGACGTATTTTATGAAACCTACTACAGAATATACTGCAGACGATTATTCTTTTCTCATGGCTACCAATTTGGAATCTTGTTATCATATTTCTCAACTTGCACATCCTCTTCTAAAGGCTTCTGGATTTGGAAGCATTGTGTTCATTTCCTCTGTTGCAGGTCTAACTCATGTTCCTGTTGGGTCTATTTATGGTGCCACCAAAGGTATAGTTGCATAATCCTATTTAATAACACATACAATTATACATATAATGGGTCTTTGTAATGTTCGTTTTACATGTGTAGGTGCAATAAATCAACTTACTAAGAATTTAGCATGTGAATGGGCAAAAGACAAGATTCGGACCAACAATGTAGCACCGTGGGCCACGAAAACCTCGCTTGTTGAAGATGTATAGTGTTATACCTTCATTTTGATCCTTTTTCATTGATAAAATGGAGCTTGATGGAAAATGTTTATTTTGTGCAGTTATTTGCTAATAAGGAGTTTATGGATGCTGTGATATCTAGAACTCCTTTGAAACGAATTGCAGAAGCAAATGAAGTTTCATCTCTGGTAGCCTTCCTTTGCCTACCGGCTGCTTCTTACATTAATGGTCAAATCATTGCAGTTGATGGGGGACTCACAGTTAACGGATTTTAATAAATGTAGTTTGTCAGTTTGCTTGAGGAGTTCCTGATATCCTATTAATTAGCGTGGTACAAACCACCATGTTGAACATTTTATTTCTATAAAAAAATAAAAAAGAGTTTGTCAATTTTAATAGTTATATAATTATGATACAATTTAATTTATATTTATATGCAATACAAAATTTTATTGATATTACCTAATTTGAACCTCATTCTCGCTTTTGGTCATTTTTATAGTACAATATTCTCCATTTTTCTTGCTTAATTCACGTTCTACATTTATATGTTGTTGCTATATAGTGTAAATTTGATAGCAACAAAAGAATTGAATTAAATTATACATATAAACTTCTTAAACTAAGCAATATATAATTATATAAATATGTATATGTTTGTATGTATGTATGTATGCATGCATATATATATGGTTGGGTTACGATGAGAATAAGAGTTAAGATGAGAAGCGTAAGAAGGGATCTCCACTCTTAAATGCACATTAGGATGAGATGCACCGAGAAGAGATGCATCAGATCAATCAATGTATCAAGCGCGATTCATGAGTGAGTTTGAGATTAAAGGTGATCAATGGTCCAGATCCCTTGTTGCACTTCTCACACGATCATTCGCCTATATATATGTATATTGTTTGAGTAAGGGCAACATATAGGAGCGTTAGTATGTATACATATTTTCATCTTTTACAAACACAATTTGTTCATTTGTTGTATGTACTTGTTTATCAATAATTCAATATTACTTATTTATTATATATTTAAGATTAAATCGAGCGATAGACAATGCTTCTAAGTACCAAAATCCATACACATATTTATTTGAAATAATGATGACAACCCGTGAACGCAACCCAGCCCACAAGGGTTGGATTGGGTTACTCTTTGTAACGGATTGGGTTTGGGCTAAGATTTTTTCTGACCGCCATCCTAACCCATGCAACAAACTCGTGTTGCATGACACCACACCATTCCAACTCGGTAGTCCTACTGAGAGATCTTAAACAACATTTACATGTGACCAATTGTTATATTCGATCCAAACAATATCGATATCAACTAAATATGCATACAAGGAAATCCTTCTCATATGGGTATGAAAGCTCATGTATATTTAACAAACTGGGTGAATTATCAAACTTTCACATTGTCTGGTACAATAATGATATGCTCATGAAGATTTCAATAACAATGTCTATGTAAGTTATGACCTCCGTGATAAAGGTTAAATCCTACATCCTAAGCCATCTCAACCGTTCATCCAACCCTCGGGTTAGATCCTGAACCTGCCGAGGTAAAACAAAACAAACCTCGGCTGAGCAAAATTTGCCCAGTAAACGAATAATAACACTATAAATACAAGATAAAATAGTAAATGCAAGAAAACGTTATGATAAAAGTAGAAATAGATTTAATGTAAATATCTAAAATTGAAGCTTATATAATTAAAAACTCAAGGTAAAAAGGTCATCCGTATCATTAGGATACGTTATTCCCGATGGATGATCAGTCCAATCAGGCATCATAAGGGAATGGAAGTGTCGACCACTACACCATCTCATTCCCCGGTAACCAGAAATATCTGATATTCCGCTCTTCGGTAACCATGGTACATGGTATTTGGTTCAAGGATGCATCCAACATTCTCTATTGACTTGGTCGTAACCCTTATGAGAATGCCATGAATATTTTAGCCATCATGGAGGATCTCAATACCCGTGCCCTGAGTATTGAGCCTAGTCAAAACTAAATTCAATAACCTTAAACTCAAATTCATTAATCCTATCAATAATTTAACATGGGATAACTAGAATAATAAAACCATGAAGCTTTCAAATTAATTTATCGGCAAGAATCATAAAAGACACCGTTAATGGATCGAAGTCTCAAGCACACAAAGTCTTTAAAACAAGACATCACATAACACAAAAGATTCTGGATAACATCTTGATAACCTCCACTTTTGTGGATGAATACCATGATCAAGATTTCATGGAATGGATAATCACTACAATTGATTATCCATGTATTAAAAGAAAGTAGATATTCATACCTTAGAAGTGTTTTAGAAATGATCACAAGAGACTTGAGACTTATGAACGGTTATCTCCTTCCGAGTTACCTACTCTTACTAGTTAATACCTTTAGACGATTTTCAGTAACAATTCTCATCAATTTCAAGTTCCTACAAGACCTTATAGTTAAAAATATCCTACGAACTTTCAATATACCAAATTTCTTGATTCGTCGATTCCCAATTATAGCTGGAAATCTGCAATCCCTTCTTCTTAGGTCTATAATTTGAAGATTGAACTTTCTTAGTTGGCTAGTCAGTATTATCAGATCTTTGTTTTCCCCATGGCAAAATTTGTGATTGAAACATCAAGTATGACTCTGTTTAATAATCTTCTTCTTTCTTGGTCTTTGTTTCTCTTTTCATTGTTTGACAAGCAACCTCACTTGCAATTTCATAGAGCACTATAGCCCTTTTATAACACGTAAAAAAAGTTGAGAGTTAAGCCACAAGGGTGGTGCCCGATTGGTTTGAGCTTGGGCTCGAAAGGTCAAAAGTGTCTGGAGGTCTCAGGTTCGAATCCAAGAAGGAATAAAAATCCCTTTGTCGCCATGGAGATTCAAATGTGGTGACTCTGGGCTACCCAAAAAGCGGGTGGTTGCCCTGGAATTAATCGGCTCGCATAGCGGGTTAATCAAAAACAAAGACAATTAGGCCTTATAATTGAGCTAGGGTTTCTTGAGAACTTGAGCGAAATAATAGTTGATAAACTTTTATATGATAATCTGCCAATTTAACAATTTATAGGAGAAATTTGACTATGAAGAACCGCTTGAAGATTTTTATGGTAGAAGAATGATTTTGTTTAAGTGAATTGTGTATGTCACTGTTAGAACTTAGATCAGGAATCGAATTTCGTTCGTACAATGATATGGAATTGAAACAAAATCCAAAAATTATATGTATGTATGTATGTATGTATGTATGTATGTATGTATGTATGCACGTATGTATGTATGTACATACGTATGTATGTATGTATGTATGTATGTATGTATGTATGTATGTATGTATGTATGTATGTATGTATGTATGTATGTATAATTACATATGAAATACAACAATCAGCTAAGTAAGAAATGATGACTGACTCGATTATCTTGATGAAAATCCAACGAAGAACGGATACGGGATTGAGGCCTGCGATGGCAGTGTCCTTAGACAAAAATTTGTCCGGTGTACGGTGAATTTGGACGTCTATCTAGAGGATACAACAATCCTTTCAAGATACGAACTTGAACCCGCCGAATCGATTAGTCTTCCATATGAATTTTGATAAGAACGAGAGAAGCAAAGAATCCAGGAAATTTTGTATATGTCTACCAAAAAAAAACCTAGACAATAAGGGTATTATATGTATGCCTTAATCGTTGGGTGTAATCAACTATAACTGTCGGACAAAGCCGTTGCCGCTCTTTGTTTCTTGTCACCAACCAAGACCTGCTCATGATATCAAGAGACCCCAACTAGATAGTTAGGCAATTTATCACTACCAAGGCCCTTTTGATATTTAATATGTCGTAGACCCAACTAGATGGTTAGGCAATTTAACACTAGTTGTAGCCTTGGTAATATAAGGCACTTGAATATTGAGATTTGGTCTATGTGGGACAAACCAAATACCCAACAGTTATTTTTTCATTTTAAGACATTTTGGTTGTTTTAATATATAAAACTTTAATATAATATATGATGTGAATTTTTATATTTTATTATCGAGACCGGTGTTACAAGGCCTCCAAAAAATTAGAACGACCCGGTAACAATTTGGTTAAGGTTTTGTGTCGTGTATTCGTTGTACGACCAAACTTAGTTTTTGAATCTAAAATAGACTTGCAAATCATTTTTTCCACCAATACTTGTTTTTGTCCAAAAGTCTAAGTCATATTCCCCCATCATCTTCATCTTCCATGCATCCATCAACATCAATCGCTTTCTAAGTCTAAACTAAAAAGTCCCAAAGCACTACCCTACAAAAGTACTAAAGAGACGTTTACCAAATGATTATTCGGTAAATGTTTACCAATAGAAGTCAATATAATAATTTATTTTGATGTGTAAGATTTTAGTATATCAAAACATATCGAATACAACAATTTACTGGGTAAGCGTTTACCTGAGTAGAAGTCGTCATTCTCACTTACTGGGTAAGACTCTCTATCTTTCTCATCGGTCTTATCCGGTAAGATTTTTGGCTCTTTTCATGTTGAATGAGGAAATTTATGCATTAAACACTTACCAAGTAAGTGTTTAATAAACGACCCCAAAATCATTGAACATTCATTTAAACCCAAAGCTCAAACCTACAAAACCCGTGAAAGTCAAGACATCTAACTCTCAATCCCAAAAATCTAAAACTTCTAAAATTTTAAACGAAAATTTAAATTTAAAAGAGAAATTAATTAAAATAGTCATTTTGACTGCATGGTTTCACCTTTTAACCATTTCTCTCATAAAATAACAAGAATAATCATTCACAATTAGCAAGTCCGTAAGTTGTGGAGGGGTCAAAGTGTAAAAATAAAAGAAGTTTTTGAACCAGATCCGTAATTATAAGAACCAAATATGTAAATTTGAAAAAACAGGGGACATATTTTTGGGATCTATTCCAAAATTTACATATTTGGTCTTTATAATTGTGAATCTGGTTCAAAAACTTCTTTTTTCACACTTTAACACCTTTGCAAATTATGGACCCGTCAATTGCGGACCTATAACTATTTTTGTTATTTTGTGTGATACATAAATAACAGATGAAATCCACCATAAAAAAATTGCTATTTTAATTAATTTTTCTAACTTAAAAACATAAATAAAATCAATTGATATGAATGTAAATTCAAGCCCACAATTTTTTGGTCAAATCTTTGATGATTAGGTAGGAAAGTTCAATGAATGAACTTCAAATTTCTAACTATTAATGAATATTTATTACAAGATTTTATAGAAGGGTAGTTTTTTTAAGTAAATAATATATTTTATATACGATAAAATGTAACAAATAAACTCACATATTCATCTCATCATTAGAAATAGTA